TCTTTTCAAAATAGGACTATATTAGTCTTATTGGAAACATACCTATTTTTTCATTCCATTCTTACCCTTCCTTTAAATATGAGTTAATTAAATGTTTAATTCATAACAAGTTCGAAAAAATCCAAAAATTCGTAGAACAATAATTAAAAAATTTATAAAAATATTTATAAAATAAAAAGTTAATTTTTTTTTTTAAATTAATAAAAAATACCACCTCTGTCCCAAAATGAACTTCCCATTTCGGATTACGATGCTTGACCGACGATAAAGCAACTCGATCCCTGTTCATACTCAGATTACTTTTAGTAAATAAAATTTACATATTGAGAAACTACATTAAAACCGCTACAAAGGCTGATAAAAAAATATAAATTTGATAAAAATTTGATATATAAAACATAAGATTAAGAGTAATTTAAGTTGATCATGTGAATAGTAACTGTGAAGTTCATTTTGGGACGGAGGGAGTAGTAAAACTTCATAAAAAAATTATAAAAATTATGGATTTCTTTCCCACTGCTTGTACTACCTCCCTGCACCACCACCTCCGGGTGGTGAAAAATGCCATTTTTTCTAAAAACTGCCATTTTTTCTGAAAATGTCAAAAACATGACATATTTCTCTTTTAGAATGCCAACATTTTCATTGTTTTCTGCCATAAATATGGCATTCGTAATGAACATGACATTTTCCCCCTGGTGTCTGGAGGTGGTGGTGCAGAGACGGTGGTGGATTTTATTCTATTTTTTTGAGTTTTTTATTAATTTTATTATTTTTATCTTTTTTTTTACAAAAAAATAAATTTATAATTTATTATTATAGAAATATTTTTATTAATTTTTTAGTACTTTTTACGATTTTTTATTATTTTTTATTATTTTATTATGAATTAAAACATTTCAATAGCTATAAGGGTATATTTGTCCAAGACACACCTAATTAGTCATATGAAAACGTAGTTTATTTTATGATCCTATTTATGCAAAGTGAGCGACTTTTAGTCCTATTTTGATAATTAGCCCTATTGGTTAGTAAAGTGTTGCTAACGCACTAGATGCTCTACAGATTTAGAAAATATTGGTTCAATCTTTGATATGCCGGCCAAGGAAATAAATGAGCTCACTCCAATAGCTAGCCCAATGAATTAAGATTCAAGGTCCACGTCCATATAATCCATCAAGCATGTTTGAGTTCGAGTTATAGTCCATAGGATATAGTTTCAAAATATCCTAGAGATTAATGTTGCCATGAACTTATCAAACTACTATCAAACTTTAAAATGTAAATAACGTAAAAAATTAATTATTACTCCATGTTAGACTCACCACTAGAGCTGCCTTTCATCTCACCCTCCAAACTATTGAACCATAATCAAGGGCTTGTGTTCCGTAAAGTTATGAACAATATAAACATGGCTAATTAGAAAGGGTCCAAGCCTACCTTTTTTATAGCTATCATTTTTTATTGCAAAAGCACAAAACCTTTTGTCAACTAATGTAAGCGGTTGTCCGACGCTGCTGTTGAATTATATTCTCACAAAAAAACTCCTATTTCGATTTATAATGTTTGACTGACGATAAAGTTAACTGATTATTGTCAATACTCAAATTATTCTAATGAATAAAATTTATATCTTCAAAACAATATTAAATAATTAATAAGGTTGGAAAAAATCAAATATGATAAAAAAGGATATAAAAAGTAAATGATTAAAAGCTATTAAATTGACCATATGAATAGTGAATGAGACTTTAATTTGGGAACGGAAGTAGTAATAAATACAAAATTGAGAATGTAGTGTTAGATAATTAATTAACTTTCTGAAGATGTATTATTTGAAAATAGCTTTCAAAAGAGCTGGTGTGCCTTGTTTGGGATAGAGAACATATATCTACGAAATGCAGGATGGTCGGGAACCGAAGTGGACTAGAACCAGGTGGATAAACATTGGAGAGGTTAGATTTTTGTGGTTATGAAGTGTTGGAAAAATGAGTTAAAATTGCATTAAATGATCATTTTGGGGCAATTATTTGAGTGGGGTTCACTTCCGATTTGGGTTGAGTCAAAGTGGTTTCAGATTGTCCTTATTAAGGGCTACAATTCGATATATGGTACGCTCAAAACGGATAACGAGTGAATGAGAAATTGATTCTCGAAGTTCACTCGTTGAAATGGAAAAACTGGGAAAAGAATGGATTTCTAGTGTGTTTTATACTACACCGGAAAACTCAAGGGATTTTCACCCTCTAATAAAGGGAAACCTCTTTTAAGGAGTTAAGATTCCTAAAGGTAAATGTTCTCTTTTACGCGCAGGGGGGTGCCGATCAAATTCCGAAACGGAGAAGAAAAACTGATTTAATTTTTGTTTCTTCTCGTAACGTTCCTTAATTTTTTCTAACAGAACCGCTCCGCTTCTGTTCGCGACAGAAGGGCATGAGGTATTCTGTCCGTGCCAGAAGACTTCAAAATCTTTCTGTACACGAACACTTCAAAATCTAACGAACACATCTTTGTATCCATAATACATCGTTACATTGTCCTTGTTACCTTGTCCTTGTTATAAATGAATATGAACCAGCTGAATTTAAGCAAGCTATTGATGATATCAGATGGCTTAAAGTAATGGACAAAGAAATAGAAGTTCTAGAGGCTATGAAACATTAGAACTAACTAAACTACCTCCTCGAAAGAAGGTAATTGGATCAAAATAGATTTTCAAGATTAAATATAAGACAGATTAGAATGTTTAATGGATCAAAACAAGACTTGTAGCAAAGGAGTACTATCAGGTGAAAAATAAAGACTACAAATAGATCTTTTTCGTGTAGCAAAATTTGCTACAATGAGAGTTCTCATAGCCACTACAACATAAAAGGGCGGCTTCTTCATCAACTTGATATCAAAACTTCATTTTCACATAGATATATTGATGAAGAAGTATATATGACACCACCAGAAGGATATTACAAGATTAAAGTAAATCTAATAGCAAATTTAAAGGGTCCTTATATGGTTCAAAACAAGTTTCAAGGCAATGGAATATTGAGCTCAATAAATAGCTACTAAGCGTAGGATTTCATCAATCAAAGAGAGATTATATACTTTTCAAAAGATACCACCTTGTGTAATCTCCCACACTATAACATTAGTCTATGTAGATGATATCCCTTAGTTTTTTACAGTTAATTTCTAGTCAATTTGTTTACTTGTTATTTTTACAGTTATTTCTAGTCAATTTTTATATAGATGATGTCATCTACATTAGTCTATGTAGATGATATCCCTAAGTAACCTTTATGGTTACTTCGAGGTCTAGAAAGTATCTCATCAACCCTAAGTTTTTTAGAGTTAATTTCTAGTCAATTTTTTTACTTGTTAGACTCCCGCTTCATTATTTGCAATGAACACTTTCATACTACTCAATCAGAGAAAGTACATCATAGATGTTCCAAATGATGGAGGCCTAAAAAAATGCACTTAAACTCAATTTCCTACCTAAAAATCTAAACATGTCAACTAAATTTAAGATGATGAACTAATTGTATATGTACATAGCACGGTGTACAATTAAATACACATGCAGGAGAGGGTAGAGTCGGACTCAGAGAGCCGAAGAGGGAAGACAGTCGACGCAGGGCCCTGAACGCGTGAACGGCCGGAGGTGGCATGGCTGGTGTTCGTTTGTGGTGTCTCCGTCGCAACTCCACTACAACCTATTCGACCTTCGTGCTTCGCGGTTTTGCTGCTTCTGCACTTCCACCAGTTCGCACAAGGAGGCACATGTTTGCTTGAGTGGAATAGTTGCTAACAGGCTTGGGTTCGGTTGGGATTAATTTTGGGATGGATTGGGCATTAAATCTATATCTATACTAATAAAAAATATTAATTTGGGTTGGGCCGGAGACCACCCCTGCCCTCACAATGATTCGCCCCTAGCGGCAGTGGCGGTGCCGGCGGGGTGGCAGTCATATTTGAATTAAATTTACATTTCGAGCAATCAAAGTGACACAAGCGGCGTCGTTGTATGTGGCCAGAGGCGCCACCGTGGAGATGTCATTGTAGAGTTGTCACTGGGGCCGCGACGGTGGCAGCAATGACATGGGCAACGGCGGGGGCAGTGCAAGGGCGATGACAGCAGTGACATCCTACAGTGACATGAAAATTGGATAGTGATATAAATATTTGGCAGTCAATTTATATATTTCAAATATATAACCATCTTAGTCACTGTTGAGGTTAATTTCTCCAACTCCAAGGGCCCAACACATTCTCTTGGGCTTCCATGTATATTTTAGTGAGTTATGTGAGTGAAAACGCACAAGTACTTAGCAAATAAGAGGGGAGGCACCCAATAAGCGAGTCGAGTTCTTATTTGACAATAACGAACAATTACAGCACACCCTACTGAAAGCCGACGCCGAGCGTCTAATCAGAGCTATGAGTATAGAGAATAGAAACTTAAAGCTAGTTAGTACAAGTTGCGATGTGGGGTAGGTGGTAGTGGTGATGTGGAGGATTACTAATGGCTAGTCCCCCAACCATCAAATCTTGCTTTCACGCCAATCTTGTTGACCGCGCAAACTGAGATCTTCATGCTTACTCTCCTCAAACGAGACAAGATCATGGTGTCGTGCGGCGTATAATGAGCGCTTCCACCGAGGTTACCTTGTCTTAATGATCCAACGAGGTGAAGCAGAAGGGTGCGTGTCGAGCGTCTCCACCGAGGTTACCTTGTCTTAATGTGCCGCCCGGCTGGGACGAGGGTCTCTTGGACCTTTGGGCTCTCGAACCTTTCTCCTTAGGGGTATTGGGCCGACCTCTCAGCGGGCCAATTACCCCAAAGGTCGATCACATTTTTGAAAATTAGCTTTAGTTAAGTACGAGTAATATTCAGAAAAAATCCACTAAAATATTGAAGTTCTATTTTGAAATTTTATTCATATTTCCGGAATTTTCCTAATAAAAAGATCGAAAAGTATGTGTAATCCGGAGTATAGTCAAATGAAAAGGATAGGATTGTATTTTAAATGCAAAAAGAGGATTAGCTTCCGACTATATAAAGCCGCCATGGCTTCTTCTCAATCACCAACACCATTACTCACGTTCCCCTTCTTCATTTTCCATTTCCGTCAGCTTCTACCATAATCCACAGGCACATAATACTTACGTAAGTGTATCTATGAGACATTTTCTATTGGATGAAGAAGAGATAGGTAAAATGTGTTCTAAAATCTCAATACGCAGATTGCTCATCTCCCTCGCCGCTATTTGTTGTGCAGAGAATAGGAAGCAGAGCAGAGATGAAATACGTGTTGGTAACGGGAGGAGTGGTCAGCGGGCTCGGGAAGGGCGTCACTGCCAGCAGTGTCGGTCTCATCCTTAAGGCCTGTGGGCTTCGCGTTACTTCCATCAAAATAGGTCTCTCTTTCAGTTTCCCTATGTCTCTATTCCGTCTTTCTCTTCCTTACTGGAGACAAGCTATTTTTGCAACATTGGTTTGTTCCCCCAGCGGACAACTTTAACTAGAGATGACGTTTGAGCACCGAAACAATGATTGTTTTCCTCCCATTAATTTAACTTTGATTTCGATTCTTTGCATTTTTTTAAAACAGTTGCATCGACATAATAAAAAATTGACTGAGTCTTCAGAGAAGATAAGGAGTGGGATATAAAGGGATAAAGATTTAAACTTTTCTTGCTCTTATGATATTTTCTATGCTGACATCCTCGAGTCCTACTTGTAAGAGTCTGTTTGTGTGTTGGGTTTTTATTGAGCTTAGAGGCCATGACTTGAGAGGGTTAGTGTATACGAAGTATTTTCATACTCCTATATGTTTAGGATTTTACAAGGCAAAATTTGTTGGCAAATAAGTACTTGCGGACCGATTAGAATATTGCAATTGAACAATTTAATATTAATAAACGATGAGATAATTAATATCGCTCACCATTTATAAACTATAAGTAATAACATAACTAGTGATAAATAATACTCCATTCGTCCCATTAGAAGGTTCCCACTTTCTTGTTTGGACGTCCCATATAAAGATTCGCATTTCCATTTTACGAAACAATTAGCAATCCTATGTGACGAATTAATCATTAAATATTAAAAAAAACATTTATAAAACCACAATTATCAATACTAACTACATTATATATATATACCTATTAAAAAATTATTAAAATATACTCAAAGTACTTTATTTAATTATTGTCTAAATAATTGTGTAGTTTTGATATGGGAACCTTCCAACGGATGGATGGATGGAGTACCACGTATTTTAATTACCCTTGGTTCGGTTTTAGAAACATTCTACTTTTTGAAATATAAACCAAGTCATCCAAACCTCTCCATCCAATCAGGCCTTAAGGCAACAGCCAGGGGAATAGCTAGGGGCTATACTAGGCCCCATCCCACCCCAGATCCGGGAAAAGTTTTGAATTTATGTTTCAAAACACTTGTAAAAAATTCTGGAATAATTATTTGTACTGGTCTTGCCTGGTATTTCCTTCTTCTAAGGCCTTTTAAGCTGCAGTAACTATGCAAAAATCTTACTTAGCTTTTCCTTTGTGTATATCACCTTTCTATGTTCTCTGTATTTAGGCAACTTGTTAAAATTTATTAAATTTACTTTACAAAAGTAATTTGAATTTTGAAATTTTGAATTCCCCTGCACAGATCCTTACTTAAACACTGATGCCGGAACCATGTCTCCTTATGAGCACGGGGAAGTATACGTCTTGGATGATGGTGGAGAGGTCAGAAGAACATCCTCTGTACATAGTACTATTTGTGTAACCTTTAGATGCTATTTTGGACAACACAAGTAGTTAGCTGATTAACTCAAAACCTTATGTTGACATATTTTTTTAACAATAAAACCAATCATTATAGTGCAATTAATTAATGACTACAAGGTCTGAGGTGTGGTTTATCCTACTTATGAAAATGGTAATACATTTAGTGGGATTAAGGGAATCCTCAAAAAAATTATTTAGATAAACACTAATACTCCCTCCGGTCCCTGTTAAAGTACTTATGAAAATAAATTTGACTTTACTGTGGAGTGCACTGTTTGGACACTGTTTGACACTGTTTTGCACTGTTTTATTTCCTACAATGGAAGTGTGAACTTAAATAAGGGACATCCCAAAAAGGAAAGTGAGAACTTTAATACAGACTGGAGGGACTAGAAGTTTTTCATTCCTTGATAGATTTCATTTGTTATATAATACGGAGTAACCTGAAAAAAGAATCTTCTGCAACTCAATCTTTGATTATTTGTCTGTATCATTTCGTTTTTAGTTGCACCTATTAATTGTCTTGGTTTACTGTTTACAAATACTTTGCATAATTGGACAAAAAGTAATTGAATAAAGGTCTTACGAAAATGTTTTGAGAAATGCTTTGGATAGTTACTCCAACCCTTTCTTTTAAACACTCACTTTTTCATTGATTAAAAACTAGTGGGATCCACTTGAATCTAATAAAATAAGAAAAGCTGTAGTGGATCCCACCACTTAAACAAAAGAGAGAGTGAGTGCCTAAGAGAATGTCTGAGTGATTATCCATAAGTTTTTTGCCATGGTTAACATTTCTAAAAATGTTTTTTCTTGGATGTGAACAAAAAATCAACTTGATGATGTTTGAAGGTTGACCTGGATCTTGGAAATTATGAGCGTTTCCTCGATATTAAGTTGACACGAGACAACAACATTACTACCGGGAAAATTTACCAGGCATGTGAATTTGAATTTTTATCTGCTAATGCTCTATTCATCCTTCTTCAATTTTCCACATCTATCCTACCCAGATAAATCATGCAAAAACTGCCTTTTTTACAGTCGGTTATTGAAAAGGAAAGAAGAGGAGATTATTTGGGAAAGACGGTACAGGTTTGTCTTTAAGTTTTGAACCATGTACTTTTAAGCCATTCATATATTGAGGTAATGATGGTGATGATGATGATATATTTACAGTTCCTTCAACATACATTGCCCCCTTTTCAGGTTGTACCTCACATTACGGATGCCATTCAAGAATGGATTGAACGTGTAGCAGCCATTCCAGTCGATGGAAAAGATGGCCCAGCTGATGTTTGTGTCATTGAACTGGGTGGCACTATTGGTATGTGTTGCTTATAAATATTTTTCACATGTTTATATCATTATATGTCCTTATTGGTTGGCCTGAACATGTATCTCTCCTTTGTTGTAGGGGATATTGAATCAATGCCCTTTATTGAAGCCTTGGGACAATTTTCATATCGTGTCGGTAAGATTAGGTGTCCATGTTGGTACTCAACAAAGAAGATATTTATGTTCATTTGAAGTATTTTAGTAGCTAGTATAGGTACCCAAAGTAATTTTACTTCATGCTGATCTAGGGGCTGGGAACTTTTGCTTGATACATGTCAGTCTTGTGCCTGTTCTGAATGTAGTTGGTGAGCAGGTAAGTATGTCGTGCTTAGTTTTATATTGAACCAACATGTATGGTAAGCTTGATATGTGGATTCAAATGCTCAGAAAACAAAACCAACACAGCACTCTGTTAGGGGACTACGAAACTTGGGATTGACACCAAATATTTTAGCATGCAGGAGCACAATGGTCTCTCTCCCTCTCCACCCATTGTTTAAATATTTCACTGTTATTCAGGATCACGCACTAAATTTGATTTCCTGCTTTCAGAAACTTGCTGAGAATGTCAAGGATAAAATATCTCAGTTTTGTCATATTCCGGTACGAGACCTGTGAAATATCATATCTTTAGACATTGCTTTATGTCCATTGAGCTTTGTGGGATCTTATTTCTAAGGTTTTGACTCATTTTAATCCCAGGTAGAAAATGTCCTAACTCTATGTGATGTATCAAACATCTGGCATGTTCCTTTGCTTTTGAGAGTAAGTACATCTGGTTTATTTCATTCTTATGCAATGTATGTATAGATATATATATATACTCTTTGTTACAACAAGCACTAGGGAAACTGTGTTTCATTGTTTAGGACCAGAAGGCACATGAAGCAATATTGGGAGTGCTCAATCTTAAAGGGTCTGAAATAAGCTCACTTCTTTTTCCATGTTTTCTTGTCTTATTTTTTTATGATTTATCAATGTCATAGACTCCAAAATACCATCAATCCCAAAATCGTTCATTATACATCTTTATGCTCAATGCAATTTAAAATATGCAGGGTTGTAAAGGAACCTTCCTTGGGAGAATGGACAAGGAGAGCTGAGCTCTGTGACAAGTTATATGACCCAGTAGGCTCATTTACTTAAACCTTGGAAAATGCACCCTGATTTTGTTTTTGTTTTTGTTTTCCTGAACTCTGTCATTTAAATACCAGATTAAAGTTGCCATTGTTGGGAAGTATGCAGGACTCTCCGATTCTTACCTCTCTGTCGTGAAGGTGAACTTGTCTTGATTGCCCCTTGTGTTTTGGGCATCTCTTTTTTTATTGTTAACATCAAAGCTTTTTTTGAAATTTAAACTATATTAATGATATTCTCAAACTGCCAATCATTCGTATATATGAACATGCATGATAATAAAAAATATGTAGTACTTTTATTTATGATAATTAACAGACATGTAGGCAGTTCAAAGTTATCTCTAAAAAGTTTGAACTTCTTAAATTGTTTGCAGGCTCTTCTGCATGCTTCTGTTGCTTGTCACAGGAAGCTTTGCGTGGATTGGGTTCCAGCTGAAGACCTTGAAGGCATCACCGCAGAGGAGGTATTTTCAGATTTCACTTCTTCGTCAAACTTGTTTCTCGAAGACTAGAAAAAATACCACGATTTACTATTTTGCAGAATCCTGAAAATTATGGAAAAGCTTGGAAACTATTAAAGGTTAGTCCGAAATATGTTTTGTCCACACCTTCCTCTATCAAATATATTTAAATTTAAATGGCTATGCTGTTTTATGAACTCCATCCATGCCCCCATGTTATCTTAACAAGTACCTTATGGTATAGGGAGCTGATGCAGTACTTGTTCCTGGAGGATTTGGTGACAGGGGAGTGGAGGGTAAAATACTTGCAGCTAAGTATGCACGTCAAAATCGGATTCCATATCTTGGAATATGTCTGGGAATGCAAGTAGCAGTAATTGAGTTTGCTCAATCAGTTCTTGGTATGGAAGATGCAAACAGCACAGAGTTCGATCCTAATACCGCAAATCCATGTGTTATCTTTATGCCAGAGGTCAGGGTTTCTTCCAATTATTATGTTAATATGGAAATTGATGGCATATGTGTTATCTTCATCACTCTAATTTGCAGGGTTCAAAAACCCACATGGGAGGAACTATGCGGCTTGGATCTAGGAGGACATTTTTTCAGGGTATGGACAGTGTATCAGCAAAATTGTAAGTACCACCTTTCTTTTTTTGCCAGCCTATGCTAACCATAATTCATCAATTATCTCCCTCTCTCTCTAATCCCTTGTATGCCACCACACTTATAGATCTGCATTTTGTTGTAGATATGGCAATAGGAGATTCGTTGATGAGAGGCATCGCCATAGATATGAGGTTAGCAACCATTTAGTTTAACATGCTCTAATGTTATAGGGTAGTGCATTCAGATGGAGTTATTGGCCTAAATGAGGATTAAATGTAATGTTACCAAGGTGAATCCTGATATGGTAGAGCAGCTTCAAGATGCCGGTCTCCATTTTACAGGCAAAGATGAAACTGGAAAGCGAATGGAGGTATATATTGCTTCCATATTCAATCATTAGAGGCTTTTTTCTTTGATGTGTCAATTTACCTTGTTCTGATTGCTATTCTCATCTCTGTTTGCAGATTGTTGAGCTTCCAAGTCATCCCTACTTTGTTGGAGTTCAATTTCACCCCGAATTCAAATCAAGACCCGGAAAACCTTCTGCACTATTCTTAGGTAGGCAATTATGTGGTTTCTTTACCCCCTGAACCATACTGCCCATACATACCTTTATTGAGCCTTATATGTTCTTTGTCCCACTCTAAAGATCCACATTTCTAAAATTCATTGCTGCAAAAAGTCCCCGCCAAGTGCCTAGGCTGTCTTTGAGTTTTTTCACAGTTGTGGAGGACCAAAAGTTAACTACCAAATAATAAGAGGATAAAAATTGAAAAAAAATTAAAAGTGGGTAATTTGGGTACCACAAGTCTCTTTCCCAACCGTCAGGGACCAAAAGTCAAAAAATTAAAGGAAAGTGACATTGCCACAATACTACAAAGACTAAAACTGGAAAATCTTCTTTGACAACTTAGGTGTGCCATGTCAAAAAAATCGTTTGTAGCCATTTTTATATTGAGTGAATCCTAGATTATATTGCGGGGTATTATTTTTCCTTTCTTGGAAGCAGGGCTCATAGCAGCAGCAGTTGGTCAACTAGATGTCCTCCTAAAGAAGGGTGTGCCAAAGCCAAATGGCATAATTCACAGCAATGCCTCAATAAAGCCGAAATACAAAATAGGAACCATCCTTCCAAATGGATCTTTGGAAATATACTGCAATGTGAATGGCATCCATGTCTAACGAGGATGCAGACGGTCGGAGTTATGCTGAGCCACTTAAAGTTGTCATCCCCTTTATAGTTTCTTGTCGGCTTTTCTGTTGGATTAATGTTATGTAAGTATAACCAATCTATAGTGAGTTACCCTACAGCTTGTCTTGTTAACTGAGAGTGTATGTAGAGCAGAACTGGTTTCCGGCATTTTTTGTGCGGAGCTGGTCTGTTGTAACCACTGCCACGTGCGGGTTGGAAGACTGAAAATTAATTAGTAAAAGGGGTTTAGATTATCATTAACTGCTGTTAAGAAAAAGATTTGCGCGTGTAGTTTTGTCATCATTGATGTCTTACATATATAGATTGCAATCGTACAATCGGTTTGCCTTCTTTCCATATAGGAAGTCCTTGTTAAAAGATTTTTTTCCTTAAACCATTGGTTTCAAAATAAATTATGAATCCACACACTGACACACATATATAGAATTGTTCAAATAAATAATGTTCCATGAAAAATTGGAGTCTAATATAGCCATCTATTTAATGATGTCAGGCCCCAGCCAAACACTAAAATGTTACTTTTAAGTTGCATTTGAAATTTGAATGGCATTTTAATATCTCTAGTCTTCACCTTTTTGGGGAATGTAATTTATGTGATTCTCTTGGCATAATTACGGATATCAACTCTATATTTTACGATTTCTTCTCCTTCACTTTTTGCCATATGAATTCTGCAACCAATCTTTGAGCCTCTTTAATTTTTTCTAGTATAAAGAAAAAATGACATGTTCCCCACTTCCCCTTAAAACTTTGCTAACTTTCTTTTTTGGTTGTCTCGTTACCTTTGTCACTTTTCCTTTTAAGTAAAGAATTTATGGTTCCACTCTTCCATTTGCACAAATTTTAATCACACAATTTTTTACTTTACAAATCCCCGTGCTGGTCAAATTTAGCCAAGTTTTTACGGGACAGGGAGCATATTACTAATATAGTTAACCCGGACAAAAACATGATTAGTTATAATTTTGGACAAAAACATGACTAGCTAGTAGCTACTATGTAGGAGTAACTTGACAAAGGTCACTATAGTCTATTAGATGACATTTATTAAAGGAACACATTGTAGAAATATAAGGTTATAATTAGATATTTTGAGTATATATTTGTAAACAATGACTACTAATTGTTAAAGAGTTATTTTCAAATACAAAAATAAAAAATACGTATGAATAATTTATTTGAATGATTATTATAGAAATAGTAGTTCAAAGAAGGTTGTCCGTTGTTGTTAAATAATAAGTATATATTAGCAAATAACTCTGGTAGTAAACAAACAATAATTAAGATAATGGAAGTCAAAACTAGATGCTTATAATTTGAACAAATCACGAGTTGTATAGTCAAATCACAAACTGTGCATGTTGACTCGCGGAACCAGTGAGTTAATCGGATTATATTAAATTACAATCCACCATGAAACGAGCAAGCCCGATGGAGTTCGACTCATTTTGACATTTGTATATATAGTCAAGTAAGTGTCTTTTAAACTTCGATTGACGAATTCATATACAATCGGCGGTCTATAAATTTAAGAAAAACTTTAAACACATATCTTACTTACCGTGTGGTGCACGGGTACACACACTAGTTACTAATATAGTTAACCCGGACAAAAACATGATTAGTTATGATTTTGGACAAAAACATGACTAGTTACTATGTAGGAGTAACTAGACAAAGGTCAATATTAGGGATGGATTTGGTTCGGGCCACCCGGCCCGTGACCCGGCCCGGCCCGGTACTGTGCGGGCCCGGGACCGGGTATGGACCCGAACCGATGGGAAGGGGCGGGGGCGGGCTCGGTTCTGGATATTTGTGACCCGGCCCGGCCGGGTCGGGCTCGGGCCCGGGTCCGGGTCTATTTTTTAAAAAAAAAAAATTTTTGTTTGGTTTGACTACTAGCCGTTGGGACCTTGGGGGTGGGGCTGGGGACAACCCAAACGGCTATATAGCCGTTGGGTGGGGTAAAGGGGGGGTCCGGGGGGGTTGGCTGGTGGGTGGGGGGGGGGGGTAAAAAAACCTATAAATACTCCTAATCTTAAACATTTTTTCATATCTCTTCTCCAATTCTTCCTAAATCCTATTCTTAACTCTCTACTCTCTAATTCTCTTATTCTCCAATATATTATATTTATTATTTATATATCTACTTTATAGTTTATACTTAAGAAGTTAAGATGGAAAATCAAGATGCCATTATACGGTATAATTTTGATAAGCAGAAGGACCCGAAGACCGGGATGTGGTACGCAATTTGCAAATGGTGCGAGAAAAAATGTAACATGGGGGCTTCAGGCGGATTCGGGATGGCAATCAAGCATATGAAGTCATGTAACAAAGCCAAAGGATCAGGAGGTGCGGGAAGTTCCGATTGATTACAATTTTCAAAATGTTTATCTCTTAAAGTTTGTTTTAATTTTCAAATGTAGTTCCTATTTCATTTCAAATAAATGCAGTTGAAGTTTGTTTTTAATACTCGTATAAAACTATAAACTATAAAATATAAATTATAAAAAAAAAATTAACCGGCCCGCCCCGAACCGGACCCGACCCGTGACTCGGGCGGGTGGCCCGGCCCGAACCGGACCCGTCCAACCCTCGGGCCGGTCCCGGGCCCACTATTCTTGAACCGGCGGCCCGACCGGGCCTAGACCCGGCCCGGGTCCGACCCGGCCCGAATCCATCCCTAGTCAATATAGTGTATTAAAGTGACAAGTCACTAAATATGTCATTTTTCTGAAAATTTTAAAATAAGTGATATTTTTGTCTTTTGACTTTAATTTAATAATATTCATTAAAAAAGACTTAGGATATTTTTACTTGGACTGAAATTTGTTGGTCTGGTTTGGTTTGGTTTGGTTTGGTCTGATCTGTTAAATGGTTGGTCTCTGTGTATTTTATAACTACGGAAGTCTGACCTGGTCTGGTCTAGTCTAATCTGTTCAAGTCTGACCTGGTCTGGTCTGACGTGGGATTGAAAACCGTCCAAGTAAAAACATTCCTAGAATAAAACTATGGAAAGTGGTATGCATATGTTCTCAATGTAATTGTTTACTTTGACTTCTACATTAATGTATTATTAGAAATTGCTCTAAATAGGAGCAAAAACGTTTTGAAATTCCAAAATAGGAGTATGATGTTTTTTATTCCCTAAATAGGAGTAATCTGCCAAGTTTGGAAAAAATGCTATGTTTTAAAGTCCAAACTTGGCAGAAATTTACTCATATTCAAGGAATAAAAAACATGATACTCCTATTTTGGAATTTCAAAACTTTTTTACTCCTATTTAGTAATCGTTTCTGAAAATTTCCAAACTTGAATGTATAATAACCAGGTTCTTTGTAGCCAGAAATCATACATATATTCTGATATGTTAGATGGGCTGTAATATGTTATACACAATTTTGAACATCACTTTGTTTTAACACTGCAGTGTGCATACGGATTTGATTTCTCAGAACTAAGGTTTCTAGTTTCTACAAATCATATTGACAGCTTAATGATGCATGACTGCATGCATGCATGCTTGTTCATTGATTATGTTTCTTTTCATATGTACTTTTTTTACGTGCGTATTACTTGTTCACATTTAATTTAATGTCACCTACATTAAAGTTATGTTATGTTATATACTACCTCCGTTCTTAAATAAGTGCAATATGTGAAATTTTACATTATTCACATGTTCTACTTTACTACATTTTATTTTTTGATGTATTAATATATATTTTTGAAAAATATATTATTAAATTTTTGTCATTGTAAATTTTCAAAAACTATTTTTTTTTAAATTTTTTACTAATAGAGAATTATATATATTAATGGTCAAAGTTGTGTCTCGGCAAGTGTGAAATATTGACTGTTGTACTTATTTAAGAACGGGGGAAGTATATTGTTATAAAGTACGTAGTACTATATACCAAGTACATTTTTACTACAACATTTTCAGTAGTTAACTTAAGTTGTGCTTATGTACACATTTATTATTTGTTTCATTGTTGTTCTGCTTCGATCACATTACCGCTCACGCCTCAAAATTGACCATGCTTTTACGAACCTTTATTGTTTCTTCTATTTTCATATAAATTCATTAGCATTATGTGTGTTTTCAGTGGTGGAATCGGAACAAAATTTGAACCGGGGCTAAGAAATACATCAAAACACAAAATTTTTGTATATCGCCAAACTATCATTCATTCGTTCATCTCCTATTCTACTACACAAAATGAGTTTGATAAATTTCCGAAAAATCCTTTGAAGTTGTTGAACCCGGCAAAAGAAATTAATTTTTTGCAAAAATTCGTTATCCATGTAAAATCATAAGTTTCAAATGACAAATTTATAAAATGTAAAATTTACATATGAGACAAACTAAATTATATCCGTATAGAAGTTTAATCACAATTTAAACTAATAATCAAATTAAAGATTATTAAAATAAATTTATAATCAGAAAATTGACTAAATAAATGATGAGATGAAATTAGTAATTGAGTTTAAGCCTAATTGCTAAAAGCATAAAGCAAATTAACAATTCAATAACATTTAATGTGGATTATTTACTTAAAAAAGCATAATTTTTTTTTGTAATATACAGAGTATTTACCTAGTCAACAAACCTAGAGAAACTTACCCTACAAGAAAATTTCAGATTTGCTACGGAATTTAACGACAAAACAAAATTTGTAGCTACTTTGCGATGGAATTCGCTACGACACAAATTCCATAGCAATTTGACTACGTAATTGATGACCGAATACATTTGGGTTGCAAAACTTATCAAATTACGTGAAACTTGGCGCCAAGTGTCGGAGGGAATAATTTACTGACTAATTTAGTGATGGAATTAATTCCGTAGTGAAAGTTTGCGACCGAAGTAGCTACAGAATTAATTTCCGTCGTGGTAAGAATTAACTTTAGTCGATCGTTTAACCGTGGTGAGATAGCTTTACTTTATTATTGCTACGGAAATTGTGATATAGTGACATATATATCCCATCGCAATTCGTTTTGAAGTGTCTCTTGACACAAAAATTTAAACAAGTGCATCAAAAATCCTATTCGGTATATTAGTAAACTGCCTAAATTGTATTTTGTACTTCGTACTAATTTAGTTTTAAAATGATATCTCAATTTACTATTCACATACTACCTCCGTCCCAAAAAGAGTTGCAAATTTGACTTTTCTTAGTCAAACAATCTCGTTTTGTTCACTTAATTAGGATGTCAATTTTTAATTATTTTCTAATTTGGAGTTTACAACTTTGAAGAGATTTTGATGTAGTTTTTGAATATATAAATTTTAATTATTAAAAATTGAATTCATTATCCATTGGGAGGGTTGACTTTTAATATTTGTTGGCAAAAAAACGTTGACTTTGCAAAACAAATTGGGACGGAGGGAGTATTATTATTAATGGAGTTCACTTAATTTCGATCTATAATTTTATGTATCATTTTATCAATTTCTTATTTCTAGAAAACTAACGTAGTTCATAAAAATGTATTTTAATTTGTAACTATAAGGATGTATTTAATTAAACTAACACTTTTCCAGATATGTATTCAATTATAAGGATGTATTTAATTGGACTAGAAATAAACATATTAGATCAAACCCAATAAGAATTTAGCAGTTGTAAAATACATATTAAACAGACCAATTTAGACCAGACTAGAGATGTTATTATTTGGATCATTTTCAGTCACAGACCAGACTAGACCAGATAAACCATATCAGATTTGAACAATTATAAAATACATAGGCATCAGACATCTATCAGACCAAACCAATTTAAATCAAATCAAATCAGAATAGACCAAATCAGACTAGATCAGAAATTTTCGGTTCAATCAGAAAATTGTAGATAAACTATTTGAAAAGAATATAACGGACTATTAAAAGTATACTATTGGAAAATTTACATTATTTGAAAATAAATCTAAGTTAAAAATAACGGAAAAATATCAATATTCTTTTAACTTTTAGAAATGATTTGCCAAGTTGAAATTTAAAAATAACAGAGTAGGAAGACACATTACGGTTTAGGATAGTGGAAGCACTCCATAATTAAAAAATAGAATAAAGAAAGTAAACCTCTCTAACATAATTAAAATAATAGGATAAAGAAAGATAACCTTTCTAAAATCTGTGTTCAAAAAAAAACCTTTCTAAAATCTAAAGTACCCGTAAATAAATGCAGTTTTATTTTAGACAGACTAGAAACGAAAAGCAAGTAAAAAACTGTAATTGAGTTTCAACTCTAAAACAATTTATTTTAGTCTATTTTAGTTTTTTCGAATTTCAACCCTAAAACAATTTGACTCAGGAGGGAAAGTAAAACTTTTAGCGCCACTTTTTATTAGACTCTTATCTTTAGCTCCCCCTCATTCTCGAACGTGGTGAACTTCTTTCTCCAGTTTTTTTTCCAACAAACAACCCAGACGTTACAGAGCCACGGAGTATTATTAAACCGCTCCAACAACAGAGGCAATCACGAAGTTCAGGGCGCTCTTACCTTTCTGGTTATCCTCCTCACAAGCTATAAGGTTTTTTATTCATGAATTTTTACATTACACATTATTGTATTAATGATTAATACCTGTGATCATATTATGGTTGATATTGTGTTCTTTAGAAACTTAATTTCATTAATCTTTGCATTAGTGGTTGTTTTGATTTTTTGTGGTCAAGAATTCACACAGATGAATTTACACTATGTTTAAACCCATAATTTCTAGTGTGTATTTACAATTTTTGTCCAGCGGAAATTTCCGACTAAAGAGCTAAATATGTTATACAAATAGATTTTTAGATCGATTAAGAACAAATATGTTTGGTTCAATTATTCATTGGAAAATTCCAACTTTCTAGCTTTTACCTAACAAACAAGTCTAGTACTTGGCAGGGGTAATGACAAAAGAGAACTACATATTTCTTATTTTTGGATGCCCTTATTTTTATAAGTCGGTTATGATATTGAGTTTTAAAAATTATAATAACTAGATTACTAAATTAAAAATTAAGACTGCCAAAATCAAACTGATATTACCGATTCCAAAATCAGAGTTGAACGTCATATATTATATAAAGTTCCAGCTCCCTCTGGCCTGTTTCTAGAATTGTAAATTGACATTCAGAGTTGTCAAGCTATACATCTAGCCACAAATTTAGTACAATTCCTTGGGTACATAAATGTAATACTGCTGGTTATTTTTTTAGTAGTGCAACTTTAAAGGCTTAGGTAGGCTACATCATAGTATCTTTAAGCTAATATAGTTGGTTTCTGGACTGTAACATAAGCATATATTACAGTTGCTTTATATTTGAAGAGATCAACTATATATGTCCTAAGGTTTTAGTGGAGAGACATGATTGTGCTTAGCTTGTCATGATTGATTGCTTTCCTTGTTAGGATATTAATAAGAATGTATTGAATCTTGACAGCTCTATTTATTTGGTAATATATAGGTAAAATAGTTATTATTTCATAATGAGCACTACAAACCGGACTTGGATGTATCAAAGAAGAACAGAGTGTGGCCATATTAACCCCATATTTGTGAATGGATTGAATACTTTCATTGACTTTGCAACCAGTAAGCCAGATTTCATGGCTGGAAATAAAATCAAGTGCCCGTGTACCAAGTGCCACAATACTGATTTTCAAGATGTTGAATCAGCAAAGTATCACTTGTGTAAATATGGTTTTGTCCCAGACTATTATGTATGGAATAGACAAGGAGAAAAATCAAGTGGTAGCACTTCTATGGGGGGCAACACCAATGTTGGTTTCAACGAAGATCATGAGTGCTCGAATACGTATAGAGAAATGATATTAGATGCCGCAGGGGCGGATTTTAGAGATAGATGTATGGATGAAGAGCCAAATCAAGATGATAAAAAATTCTTTGATTTGTTAAAGGCAGCTGACACACAATTGTGGCCCGGTTGTGAAGATTTGACACAACTTTCAGCGTTAGCTCAACTGTTAAATATCAAGGCAGAGTATCGCTTACCTGAGCAGTGTTTTGACTCTATTTGCCAATTGTTTAAAAAAGGATTACCGAGAGTCGAGAGATAATAATATGGTCGATAGCTTTTACAATACTAAGAAACTAATGCGCACACTTGGGTTACCGGTGGAGAAAATCGATTGTTGTATGCATGGTTGTATGCTATATTGGGGTGATGATAAGGAGTTGCTCCGATGCAAATTTTGTACTACTCTGAGATATAAACCATCAAATAGTTCTTCATCTAAGAAAACCCTCGTGCCTTACAAAAAAATGCACTACTTGCCACTAACTTCGAGGTTAAAGAGGCTTTATGCCTCGCAAACAACCGCTGCGGCTATGAGATGGCATGATGATGATCATGGTCATGATGATGGAGTTATGTGTCACCCTTCTGATTCGGAAGCCTGGAAGCATTTTAATTTCTGCCACCCATCATTTGCGGCTGAAAGTCGTAATGTTCGATTAGGTTTATATACAGATGGATTTCAACCCTTTGGCCAATCTGGGCAACAATATTCTTGTTGGCCTATCATCATTACGCCATATAATTTGCCACCTTCTATGTGCTTAAAAGAACCATACATGTTTCTGACTGCAATTATCCCTGGACCAAATAACCCCAAGAACAAATTAGATGTTTTCTTACAACCTATTGTTGCAGAGTTGAAACAGTTATGGGGAGAAGGAGTTCTAACTTAAGATGTATCATTGAAACAAAATTTCAAAATGAGAGCTGCTTTGATGTGGACAATTAGTGATTTCCCTGCCTATGCTATGCTATCTGGCTGGGGAACGACAAGTGCTAGTAAAACTGCATGCCCGTACTGTAGGGAACAGTCACAAGCATTTAGACTTCCAAATGGTGGAAAGATTTCTTGGTTTGACAATCACAGAAAGTTCCTTCCACAAAATCACCCATTTCGTAGAAACAAAAGTAAGTTCATCAAGAACCGTGTAGAGATGAGACTTCCTCCACCAGTTAAGAGTGGCTCTGAAATTTTAAAGGAAATTGAAGAATATGGGTTACTAAAAGTCACAGAGAGTGATGCGGATGATGTTAATAAGGCATGTTCCAAAGTTTGTGGATGGAGAAAACGTAGTATATTTTGGGACTTGCCCTACTGGAAAACATATCTCATTCGGCATAATCTCGATGTGATGCACATTGAAAAAAATGTCTTTGAGAATTTGTTCAACACTATAATGAACATTGAACAAAAGACGAAAGATAATGGAAAAGCTAGAGAAGATGTGAAATTATTTTGCAATCGGAAGGAGTTAGAGAAAAACCCCATCACAGGTAAGTATCCAAAGGCATGCTATTCATTAGATAAGGATAGCAAACAAGTGATATGTGATTGGGTGAAGGGTGTAAAATTTCCAGATGGTTATGTATCAAATCTTGGAAGGTGTGTAGATCTGAGCAAATATAAATTGTTTGGAATGAAAAGTCATGATTGCCATATCTTTATGCAAAGGTTGATACCAATTGCATTCCGAGAGTTGCTGCCTAATAATGTTTGGGAAGCAATTACTGAGTTGAGTCTTTTTTTCAAAAGCTTAACTACAACGGTTATCAAGTGTGAAGACATGAAAAAACTGGAAGAAGATATTCCAGTTATTATTTGTAAACTAGAAAGCATATTTGTTCCAGGATTTTTTGACTCAATGGAGCATTTGCCTATACATTTGCCGTATGAAGCGAAAAAAGCTGGCCCTACACAGTACTGATGGATGTATAGATTTGAGAGGTAATACTTGAATGCCAATTTTCAACATTTTAAGTATATATCATGAATTATATTTTTCTTTACACTTTTACTGCTTCAAATTAGATTTCTCCATGAGCTGAAAAAGGATGTCAAAAATAAAGCCAAAGTAGAAGGGTCTATTTGCAATACATACCTAGTTCGTGAAGCATCCATTTTTTGTTCTCATTATTTTGAGCCCAATGTCTATACACGTAATCGGAAGGTACCCCGAAATGATGATGGAGGAGATACAGAGGGAGATGAAGAAAATCTGTTAATCCCAGAATACTAACAATCATACAACCATAACAGTGATAAAGAAGCAGATAGAAAGAAATCGACAAGATTGAACGTGAATCTGGTATACCGTATGAATCTGCCGCTACTCTCCCTGGAGAAGGAGAGCAGTGGCAACCTAATTTCTCTCTATCTCTACGCCTCTGCGTCTCTAAGCCTCTCTCGATCGTTTAGGTTCCCGTAAGTTAGCCTCCTTTTATAGGAGAAGTTGGCTAACTTACGGGTTACAAGGAAGCCCACGGGCTGATACACATTTGTGGCCCGTATTACACGTTTAATTAATAACTACACAAATACAAAGATAACTAACTAGATTGAACACCATAAAATATTCCCAACAATCTCCCCCTTGGTGATCAATCGTGTTGAATCAGCATTGCAGCGCAGATATGTTTGTCTTTGTTGTTATTGAGCTTCCTTTGTCTTTGAACTTGACTTCTGAGGAAGGCTATCTGAAGGAATCCTTGCAATCTCCCCTTTGATGTCTTCTTGACAATTTGATCTTTGATGCCGGGGGTTGAGGGACCTTCTGTATCTTGCATGTAATCCTTGCCTTCCAGAAGTTGCTCTTGATCAGCTTGGATGAAGTCCGGTGACGCCTCTAGAATGAATATTCTTTGGAGAATAGGAGACGCCCATGGAATTCATCTTCAGTACACGAGTATTTGACCTCTGTCTCCTCCACAATGTAGTCTTTTTGACTATTTGGAATGAATGCATTTGAGGAGAACTTGTCGGTGGCACAGCGGAACATAATGATGGTTGATTTGTGAGTGTAGCTGACCATTTGATATGAGTTGCGGAGATAGTAGAGAGGGTGTTGAATTTTGCGATGGAGGAGTGAAGTGTCCCAGAATGATTTGTTCAGTGTTAACAGCATGTGGACCACTCTCCCCCTCATGACGATCCGATGAATCGGGACGTCATGCTTTTATTCTTTTATTCTGCGGAAATAAAAACATGAAAAACAAGCAGAATCTAAAAAAGATAACGTAGCCCCCCGGGGTCGTGAAGACGCCCGTTATCATCACTATAGAGATAAACTCTAAAGCAATGGCCTGAAAATGTTGGTGATTCTTATGTTGCAACAACAGGACTTCCTTCCAATTATTGGTCTTCATCTGTAATAGATGAGCCCTATGGAAGTTCTCGCAAGTCTTGAAGACTAGCAACTGACTCTAAAATGTGTCTGTGTCCTAGAAAATTTCAAAACATTTGGGAAGTGAGTAACTAGACACGACGTGATCAATGAAAGTTCAGTGGCATGGGGCTGAGGCCACTGTAGTCAGTATTACTTGCCTCGTAAGGAGGTAGTAATGAGAGATGTGGTTCCCCCAGAAATATGATTAAACACCTGTCTGTTGGGAGACAAGTGAGTGGTCTAGGGTAGGGTTGTGCATGCGCCGTTTGGACAAAATGCAGCGACTTCTACCCGGGATCTGAATAAATTCAGTCCTGAACCTATGGGGATAGTCCAGAGTATTTTAGTGGCTAGGAGCAAATGTTCAATTCATAACAGGCAATTGAGGTAGCAGACTCATCATTGATAATTGTTTTTCTTCTCACTTGAGCCTTCTGCTTCCTAATGCTCATAATGTTCACTCACTCACTCGCTCACTTACGCACTTACGCTCGGCTTTGTCCCTTGGGTAGGCTTAGTTGGGTTTACTAAGCCATAGGGACATGTTCTCTCATTACTTTCTTCATTTTCTCTCTGTTCTCCCCCTCAACTGGAGCACCCGGTATGCTTTGTCATTGTTAGGCACCGGGGAGGATAACATTGAACACTCCCCCTAGAATGTTGCATCCGTTGAGAGATTTCTTGCTTTGTCGGTGTAAGACGCCAGGAGGAGAAAACTGAAACTCCCCCTCAGAATGTGCAAGGTTTGATTGCTCACAGCTCGTCATACCCGCCATGTGTGTGGAGCAATCTGAACATGTACCACACATGACGGTTTCCCTGAACTCACCATGTAGAATTTCAGCATATTGATGAACACATAATGTTGATGAGTCAGGGGAGGCTTCAGCGGTTGAATGTTGATTGTTGTAAGATGACCGTTGACGCGAGGTTGATTGAATTATCTACGATTTTCAGACCTTTACATTGAAGTTTAGAAAATGTTTGACCTCAGGGTTGACTTTGAAAGAATTTGAACAGATTTGCCAAAGTTTTGACCTGGACATCGGTGATTTACAATGTTTGTCGGAAAACTCACGTTTTGACCCTCAAAGACTGCGAGTGAGGGCGCGTGAGATTGGGTTCTGGGGCGTAGCCCAAGGATTAATGTAGATCTTTGCGTTAGCTTTCCAACAAAAAAAAGTTTGGTCAAATCGGATCACCGAGTCAAAAGTTATGGCCAAAACAGTGTGGTGTCGCAGAAAATCTCTAATTTTGAGTTTTTGAGGAATTTCTTCGAAGATGAGGTGCTCGATGTTGAATGTCGAGAGAAGGTGGATTTTAAACAAAATTCTAGAGATTGCCTTGAAGAATAATGGCGAAATCCACCTGCAAAACAAACCTCAGAATATCGAAATCTGCAGAGTTTCAAAATGTTTGAACATCGAAAACTTTGGAGTTTCGAAAACCTCATAATCTCGAAAACTTGCTGTTTGAAAAACATCAGAACATCGAAAACTTCTGAAACATTTATAAGCAGGGAATCATTTAGAGATTATATAATGTAAAGCTTCGATGAACTGCAGAGGATATCAAGATTCGAATTATGAGTTCCAAGAAACTGCAAACTTTGAAAGATTCAAAACATCGAGAAATTTTGAAAATCTCGAAATCTTCAGAATGTCGAGATCCAAAACATCGAGATCCCAAATGTCGAAATCCCAAAACTCGAAATCCTAAATGTCGAAATTCCAAAACTCGAGATTACAAATCTCGAGATCTTGATTTCGAGATTCAAATCTCGAGATCTTGATTTCGAGATTGAAATCTCGAGATCTTGATTTCGAGATTCAAATCTAGAGATCATGATTTCGAGATTGAAATCTCGAGATCTTGATTTCGAGATTCAAATCTCGAGATCAAGATGTCGAGATGCAAATCTCGAAATCAAGATTTCGAGATTCAAATCTCGAGATAAAGATGTCGAGATGCAAATCTCGAAATCAAGATTTCGAGATTCAAATCTCGAGATCAAGATGTCGAGATGCAAATCTCGAGATCAAGATGTCGAGAAGAGGAAATCGAGTCCCTAAGTGTCGAAATCCTGCAAAACGAAAACATTGATTTTTGAAAATCTGAAACCTGTTCTGAATAGCCCTGAAAGTCAAGATTCTCCTGTACCAGTTTCAAGCCAAAAACGTTTCTGCAGCAGTGAAAAATAAGGATTTCGAGATCTCAAAGTAGAGATCTTCGAAATATAAAATTTGCAGAAAACGAAAAAGAGGTATGCTGCTGGATCGGTTTTGAAAGGCGAATCCAACAGTGTGATTTTTACAAAATTTCGCTCACAAACGAGATTACAGGAGCAAATCTCTACATATAGAAAAACTGAAGAAAAAACAGAGCTTTCTTCGTTAAATCCAAAAATCGCAGACAGATCCAACCTGTTTCACGCCTCGGCTCTGATACCAAATGTTAATCCCAGAATACTAACAATCATACAACCATAACAGTGATAAAGAAGCAGATAGAAAGAAATCGACAAGATTGAACGTGAATCTGGTATACCGTATGAATCTGCCGCTACTCTCCCTGGAGAAGGAGAGCAGCGGCAACCTAATTTCTGTCTATCTCTACGCCTCTGCGTCTCTAAGCCTCTCTCAATCGTTTAGGTTCCCGTAAGTTAGCCTCCTTTTATAGGAGAAGTTGGCTAACTTACGGGTTACAAGGAAGCCCACAGGCTGATACACATTTGTGGCCCGTATTACACGTTTAATTAATAACTACACAAATACAAAGATAACTAACTAGATTGAACACCATAAAATATTCCCAACAAAATCTAATAATATTTACATACCCTGGAAGATTATATGGAAGATGTATAAGCGGAATGTTAAGTGACAAGGAGTACTTAGCAGCACATTCTTATATATTGCTAAATTGTGAGGAAATGCAACCTTTCATTGAGTAAGTTCTATATACTTATAAAAACATTATTAAACATTAAGATATTTAGTATGTAGTGTTTATCTTTTTTTTTCGATTCAAATTTATAGATTGTACGAGGAGATATTAAAGGAACTATATCCTGGTATAAATGAATCAGCTCTTGCAGAAGAGATGCACCAAAACTTTTCTTCATGGTTTGAGAAGTATGTAAGTAATTTTTAATAACTATAAAGAACACAATATAGCTATCACAAAAGTTTTTACATGTTACTTTATGTTACACAGGGAAGAGAAAATCAAATAGAAAATAAATACATTCGTGATCTTTCGAAGAAGTCGTTAAGAATAGTGAAATCATATCCTGTTTACTTCGTAAATGGCTACAGATTTCATACTGTATCACATGGTGCTAACAAATCCACAATGAATAGTGGTATTTGTATAAATAGTACACATGGTGATTATTATGGAAGATTGCTGGAAATCATTGAAGTTGAGTATCCTGCTCTGCCTATTAAACGAACTGTGTTGTTCAAGTGTGAATGGTACGATCCGACGCCTAATATTGGGGTGAAGATTCACAACAAATACAATTTGGTGGAGATCAATCAACGAAGAAGATTTAAAACATTTGAGCCATTTGTTTTAGCAATGCAAGCTCTTCAAGTCTGTTTTGTTCCGTACCCTAGCATGAAGCAAAATACATCAGATTGGTTAGCAGTGTGTAAAGTACAACCTCGAGGACTTTTGGATTTTCCCATAAAAGAATTTGGGAATACAAAAGATGCTGCTTTTCAAGAACAAGAAACTGAAAGAATAGAAATTATTGATGTTATTGATGTTACAGATGAATCCCTTGCTACATTAAGAAGTGATCATGTTGAATATGAGGAAACTCTTAATTCAGGGGATGATGTTGGCGATGATGATGAAGAAGAGGACAATTTAGGGGATGATGTTGACAATGATGATGAGGAGGAGGACAATGAGCCTGAGTTTGACTCAAATTCTTCTTCAGAGGAAGATGTAGATGAAGATGAGTATGAGGAGTACTATAGTGATTAGGTTTTAAGTAGGACTATAAGGGTTTTATGTTAGGGCAGAATGTTTATTCTATTAAGAGAAACACTCTCATACATTTTGTTTTACTTTTATGCTATTCTTCTGTTTTTAATTTTTTATGATACAAGTGTTTTTTATACAAGGCTATGAGGATATTAGTATCACACATGGGATTGCTCTATTCAATTTAGCAAAACAATTCTGAGGTTCAATATCTCTGCATGCATATTTAACTTTTATTACAGATTGGCGTTTGTTTGCTTCAAATGGCAATTTTGCAGAAAAGATGCTAAACTTATCAATGAGGGGAGGCAAGGCTCAAACACAATGCTATTCACGTGGAGGGCGTACAGGAGCAAGACTTTTGATGGCAACCACATCTCAAACTCCCAATGCACCTCAATCCCATGAACTGCATACAACACCTCAAACAACAGGACCTTCATCTACACAACCTGTGGTTCCTCCAGTAGCCTCTACACCTACACAAACACCTCGAGTAGTGACTTGTGCACCCATAACACAAAATACAAGTGAATCAGAAGTACGAAATGAGTCGGTGGCATCCCAAAATATTACATTTGGTGGCAAGGGTCCAAATGGACGCACTTGGATTGGTGTGCAAGATAACCAGTATGTTAAAGATGTTATTATACTGAACTTCTAATTGCAGATTTTTTTCTCTACGTTTTTTTCTCTACTTAAATATCATCACTTTCTTTTATATAGATTAGTTCCTTCTGATAAGTGTGCAAGGAGGATTACCAAGCTATTCCATGAAAGAGTAGACCTTAATGGTTATGCCTGGTGTAAGGAATAACTGTAATTAGATTTTGATGATGCTAGGTTAATTAGGATTTTAGAAGTACCCCTTTAGAAATTATGTATTAGAATTTTCATTTGTAAAGTTCTTAGTGTAATCGACTTGGCAGAATGCCTACAGAGCAGAAGGGCTCCCAGAGCAGAAGGGCTCCCAGAGCAGAAGGGCTCCCAGAGCAGAAGACCCTCTTAAGACATTATTGAAACAGAGGACCTTTGGTTCTCTGCTCCAGAACAGAAGTCCTTAGGATCTCTGTTAGTCTTGACTCTGACAGAAACCCTTCTGGGTCTCTGTTGGATACTCCCAACAGAAGTGCTCCAGACCTCCTCTGTTCTACTCTCAGACAAAGACACCAGAAGGTCTGACACATAGAATATTTTCAAAGAACCGGGAAGTCAACTAAAAGATTCCTTCAACGGCTAGGAGTATGAAACGGAAAAGCTACAGTGCATGCATTAAATGCTCATTTAATGCACCCCATGCTACGTAGAGTAATTGCAGATGATTGGCCGGAATGTCAGGAATACTTTATCCCAAAATAGTAACCCGCCAACTTTACCGGGATCTACTAGTCAAGTCAACTGATCGCTCATTTAATGCAGTTGTCCTCCTACTCCTCCAACGGGAAGACAACCTCAGTATAAAAGATACACTACGAAGAACAACCGGATAACTTTGCAACTTTTGCTAACCTTTGCTACAACTCTTCATACAAGATATTCAAACTCAAAAAGCAAAAAGCCTTCTTGTGATTCAAACTCATTATCATCTACAAGAGAAGGCAGAAGTTGGAAAATTACTCTTTCCAACTCAAGCAAAGTTCCAAGTGTTCTTCAACTCTTCAAGCTCATCACATACAAATATTTTGTAACGAAGCTAGTTGGAGGAACCCCTGTTTCAACAGAAACTCTTCTTGCTACAAGAAGGACGTCCAAATAACTAGAGTAGTGAAGTGGTGATATTTCAAGGAAACTCAGTGAAAGGACCAGTGTTAAAGGAAGCCAGGCAGTGCATCCCAGGACACATCTAGGCTTGAAGAAGACGTGGAGTGCTTCTTAAGTACTAGGACTAAGGCTTTGTAAACGGCAGTTTTTACAGCTTAGTGGAACAGTGGATTAGAGGAACGAGTTGTTCCTTGAACCACTATAAAAATCCCTGGTGTCGTTTACTTACTGCTTTTAATACTTGCACTTAGATAGAACTGTATAACTCCTTGGACTTGGTATCTGTGTTCAGCAGAACTTGTTCTACGAGTTAACAGAAGGCCTTCTGGCTTTGCTTCTCTGAGGCTAACAGAACTCCCTGCCAGAACCCCATCCGCTGCCAGTCTGTTCTTTCAACAGAACAGGCTATTATGTAAATCTGGTACTTAGTTTAAAAAGCTAAAAACCAATACAGTCTATTCACCCCCCCCCCCCTCTAGACTGTATCCAGTATAACCGGGACCAACAAGTGGTATCAGAGCCTCCTTGTTCTAATAATCTTTTAGGTTATTTGTTGAACAAAGATCCACTTGTTTTTCTATTTAACCTCATTTCTATCTGATATAATGGATCACTCCTTGTCCAAGAATCTTATGTTTTCAGATCTTAAGTTTGATGACTGGAGGATCCGGATGAAAGCACATCTCTGTGCCCTGCATGATGAAATGTGGGAAGTTCTTGACATTGGCCCCTTCACTAGCTTCCAGAAGGTCAATCCTGAACATGCCATAGACAACACCAGACCCCAGATGATCAGCAAAGCCAAGTCAGAATGGACCACTGAAGAGAGGAGAAAGTACAACCTAGACAATATTGCCAAGGACATCCTCTACAAGTCCATTGATGATAGGTACTTCAACAGAATCAAGAAGTGCAAGACTGCTAAGGAAATCTGGGATACTCTTGAGCTCATTGGAGCTGGTGATGAGCAAGAGAAGGACAACAAACTAACCATAGCCAACAAGAAGTTTGATGACTTCAAACTTCTCCCTGGTGAAAGCATCTCCAAGATGTATGACAGGCTCCTCACTCTCACTGGAGAGATCTCTGAGCTTGGCAAGGATCTCACAACCAAGGAGATCAACCTGAAGGTGTTGAGGGGACTGCCCTCAGCATGGAAGATGAAGGTAGTTGCTGTCCAAGCCAGCAAGGATGTGAAGACTTATCCCACTGATAAGCTCATTTCAGATCTCAAAGCTCATGAGTTTGAAATGATTGAAGAGAAGGAAGATGTACCAGAAGAGAGGACCACTACAGCCCTCACTGCCAGCACATCTAAGGTAAATGATTTTGACCCTTCAGTACTTTTATCTGATGAAAATATGGCTGCCTTTGCCAGGAGATTCAAAAAGTTTATGAAGAATCCCAAAGATGGAAGGAGTCCATCTTTCAACAGAAAGCCATACCAGAAGGTCAAATCAACAGAAAGCAGTGGAGAGCTTCTCTGTTACAACTGCAGACAACCTGGTCACTTCAAGGCTGATTGTCCCCATCCTAGAGTGTCAAAGAAGCAAGGACAGGATGGAGAAAAGAAGAAGTACGAGGACAACTCCAGAAGAAGAAAGACACTTGTGACAGAACAGCTGGAGAAAGACCCCCTGTCAGAAACAGAATCCAGTTCTGACTCAGATTCTGATGAGGCCTTCTGTTGCCTTGATACTGAGACAGAAGACCTTTGCCTCATGGCTCATTCTGATGATGAGGTAACCTCTACTTCTGAATCTAGTTTTTCTTCGGTAGGCTTAGCTTTTGATTCTGATTCAATGTCAGAATTTTGGGAAGAGTTTAAGGCCATACAAGCCACTTATTCCTCTGTAACAGAAGAAAACAGTAAGTTAAAAGCTGAAATTCTTGACTTAAAGAAGGAGGTTGAGATCAAAATCAATCTTCTAATTGAGGAAAGAGATCAATTGGAGACTGAAAATGTTTCTCTTCTCAAGAGAATAAGAGAAATAGAGCCTCTTGAGATTAAGTACAAAGCTTACCAGAAGGCCCAGTCTTCCATGGAAAAGATTGTGCTTGATCAACAGATTGGCACTGGTTTTGGTCTTGGTTATGGCTCAACAGAATCAGATGAGCCTTCTGTAATGCCTAGCACCAGAGTTGCTAAGGCGGATAAGGTCATAGAGCCACTGATTTCTAGCCCCATCTGTCAAGCTGGTGTATCTGGCACCAAGGTTGTTCATGAGGAAGTCAGACCAGAAAAGGGTAAGATAAAGGTTCAACAGAACCCTTTTTGAAAAATAATGAACCTGGCAGAAAACCTAACAACAGAAGAGGTTTTCAAAATAACAAAAATAAAAGACCATTCATTGACAGACAACCTCATGTCAATCGTGCCAGAAATGATCACCAGAAGGGCAAATATCAAGAGAGAGTTAACTTCAGGCAGAAGAGGTTGGTTGGTCAACTTCAGAAGCCCAAGGTTAACCGTCCCTCTGCTCTTGATAGTATATGGGACTTCTTTCCAACAAAGAAAGCTATGCAAAAGTATGTAAACAGGAAGCATGACCCTCACAAGCATCTGCCCAAAGTGAATCACACTTCAGTTTACTATAACTACCAGGTGGACAATGGGTACCACCCACCAAGGTTTCACTTGATGAGACCAAAATGGTACCAACTACCCAGACTCCATGACCCCCCAGGACCCAGCATTGCTTGGGTACCTAAATCTTTCTTTTGATCTTGCAGGAACTGTGTGCTGGAGCCATCTCTGAACAAGAATGGTTTATTGATAGTGGATGCTCCAGGCACATGACAGGTGACAGAAGTTGCCTAACAGAGTTCCAGAAATGCAAAGGACCTAGAGTTACCTTTGGAGGTAATGACAAAGAAGGTCAAACAAAAGGAAGAGGAAAGCTGATCAAGAACCAGATAATCATTGATGATGTCTCATATGTCAAAGGACTGAAGTTCAACTTGCTAAGTGCTAGCCAATTCTGTGACAAAGGCTACACTGTTGAATTCACAAAGGACTTCTGCTATGTGAAGCATGAGACAACAAAGGAAGTGGTTCTTACAGCATCAAGGAAGAAGAACATCTATGTAGTTGATTGGAACACTGCAAAAGATGGAGTTTGCCTGATAGCCAAGGGAGATTCAAAACTGAGCTGGGACTGGCACAAAAAGCTCAACCATTTGAATTTCAAAACAATCAACAAACTGGCCAGAGAACACATTGTAGAAGGGCTACCAGACATTGTGTACAAGAAGGAGACCCTCTGCAGTGCATGTCAGAAAGGCAAACAAGTGAAGAATTCCTTCAAACCCATTGCTGGAGATCTTTCTACAAGTCCTCTAAATCTGATTCACATGGATTTATTTGGACCTGTTGAGACTCCAAGCGTTGGTGGCAAGAAATATACCTTAGTCATGGTTGATGACTACTCCAGATACACATGGACTGTTTTTCTGACAAAGAAAAATGAAACTCTTCAGAAGTTGCCATCTCTGTTAAAGCAACTTCAGACTGAGAAGAACTTGAAAGTGAAGACAATCAGATCAGACAGAGGAACTGAATTTGTCAACCAAGTCATAAAGGACTTCTGTGATCAGAATGGAACTTTTCATCAACTTTCTGCCGCCAGAACCCCTCAACAGAATGGCGTAGCAGAAAGAAGGAACAGAACTTTAAAAGAAGCTGCAAGAACAATGATTGCAGAATCTGGATTGCCTATGAGATATTGGGCTGAAGCAATCAACACTGCATGCTATACTCAGAACAGAAGCATGATCAACAAGAATCACCAGAAGACCCCTTATGAACTCTGGAAGGGAAGAAAGCCAAACATCAGCTACTTTCATGTATTTGGATGCAAGTGCTACAT